TTATTTTTAAACGCAGTGGTGGGCAAACCATAGCCTGCAGGTCAAAAATAGCCCAACTCTTGTTCTTGTATGGCCCCCAGGCTAAAAATTATTTTTATATTGTTAAATGGTTAAAAAAAAAATAAAACAAAAAAGAACACTTTGGGGCATGTGTAATTATGTGAAATTTGACTGCAGTGTTCATAAATAAGATTTTATTAGAAAAGTCACGCCCATTGTTTTACATATTGTCTATAGCAGTTTTCACATTACAACAGTAGTGTTGAATAGTTTTGACAGAGACTGATCTCCTTCTACATATTACTATATTCACTATCTGGCCCTTTACAGAAGTTTGCTAACCCCCGTTTGAAAGCATCTCTCTGACATAGGTCCTTGTTGCTGTATCAGTGACGCAAAGAATATTGTTTACTTTTTCCCTTTCTTCCATTGTAAAGCATAAAGTGGATTTCCCTTACAACATAAGATCTGTGTTTGAAAAAACAAAACGAAAAACTTGGAACCACAGGCTCTCTTTTTTAAATGGAAAAGACTAAAGATCATCTTACAATGGTTCCCAGTGTGGGTCCCCTTATTCCTAGGGGAACAAGAAGGAAATAATGGATTTCATGAGCTACATTCAAAATTAAAAAAAAATTCTCCACATACTTGCTAGAACAACAAGATTTGGGCTATAATGATAACAAAAGATTATTAAATTTTTATTCTAATCAAAAGGGATGCTTGAGGTTGTGGGAAAAAATGGGGACTCACTGTCCTGTACTATACTATTTGACAGGGTCACATAGCAAATTAGTGGCAGACTGCGGTAAATCACCTCTTAGTTCTGGGTTTATAATCCTACTTACTATACCAGGATCCAGGGAAAATGAACAGTTTTATAACACATTGTGGAAAGAGGAAGGGTATAGTTGAATATGGTAAATGAACAGATTTTTCTACTGTGCTTGTAACTGGTGACTGATCTCAGCCAAGTGGGAACTCCAAGAGGAGGTCATCAGGTGGCTATACCTCCCCTCCCTCTGCAGCCACAGATCCCGTCCTCATGGCTGCAAGTAGCCAAGATGCCACCCAGCCACAGGATGTACACAGTGGTCACCCAGAAGGTATAACTGAGAAAAGTTTTACTTCGTAAATGATGTGAATCATGAACGAGTCAGGAGCCTCTGTCTCCTCCCCTTACCCCCGCTGGTAAAACACAAGCTCTGTACTTACTAAGTTCTCTTAACCGTGTACTGGGTATGACTGGTTTCCTTCCCCGGACTCCAAGTGCAAGTTAAATTTTTCCTATAGTAGTACACGCAAGAAATGTTCTCCGGCTTAGCTGGCAGAGCTAAATAAATTTTTAAAAAACACACAAACACAGACACAACAATTTCAGTACACGATAAATATTGCCAGCATTGAACATTTTAATGAAAATAGGCTGATCAAGAAAAAGATTTGTTGGTTAGTTGCTAGGTATAATAGGTTCTCCTAATTACAGATTCATGGAGAAAATCTAACTCTATTGCTCCAATTATTCCCTTAGAAGAGCTAGATTTCTACTTGTGAATTAGAATAAAATCTTAAGTCCCCCCAGCTGACTTAATGGACCCCTTCTTGGCCAACGGAGCCCCAGAAAAACCCTAAAGCTGAGTTGCTGGCCATGAGAAGGGAGGTCAGACATGCCTCATAATGACCCCTCCCTTTTTGGAGATATTCTTTGTAACAATAAGATACTAAATCATTAATAGGCCTAAAGCTATGCAAGACAAAGCCTGAACCACACCTACAGGCCATGTATATACTTAACAGATGAACGGATCACTCAAGTTCTGGTAAATGTCTGGTGGCTTGTCTCTGATTAACAGACATCCTTACCTTAAGTGAAAACATTCAAAGCCCTTAGACAAAGCTTCATTTCTTTAACCAATTACAAATCAAAGAATATTTAAACCCACATATAACCTGTAAGCCCACCACCACCACCACCACCACCACCCTACCACCCCACTTCTGCTTTGAGATGTCCTGCCTTTTTGGGCCAAATCAATGTACACCCCCTTGTATTGACTTAGGGTCTTACATGTAATTCCTGTCTCCATGAATATATAAAACCAAACTACAACCCAGCTACTGTGGACACATTTTCTCAGGACCTCTTGAGGCCATGTGCTCTGGGCTGATCACACACATTCAGCTCAGAATAAACCTTTTTAAGTTATTTTACCGAGTTTGGGGTTTTTCTCCATTAATATACTTTTTTTTTTTTTCCTGAGACAGAGTCTTACTTTCTTGCCCAGGATAGAGTGCCATGGCATCAGCCTAGCTCACAGCAACCTCAAACTCCTAGGCTCAAGAGATCCTCCTGCCTCGCCTCCCGGGTAGCTGGGACTACAGGCATGCGCCACCATGCCCGGCTAGTTTTTTCTATATATTTTTAGTTGTCCAGATCATTTCTTTCTATTTTTAGTAGAGACGGGGTCTTGCTCTTGCTCAGGCTGGTTTCGAACTCCTGAGCTCAAACAATCCACCCGCCTCGGCCTCCCAGAGAGCTAGGATTACAGGCGTGAGCCACCGCGCCCGGCCGGGGCTGTTTCCTATTAATACTACAGCATAAACAACTTTCCCTGACTAATATAAAGATAGATTGCCTGCTCTGAAAATCCAGAATTCTAAGACTTGAGGGAGGAATTTAATAGGGAGTTTTTGCTAGTCTTCTCCTATGTCCCCATGATGCTCTCATTTTGCATATGATTATTTAAGATTCATTTTATTACAGATTAGGAGGTTAGGGGGAACTGGAATAAAAACGAACCAAATCAGCAGTGTTGGACTTCACTTCTTTCTTGCTTCACTTCACCACTTCTAGCCTCAGTTACCTGGAGGAATGCCACACATCTGAACTGCCTGGACTTCACCTAACAGAACTGCCATGGCTGGCAGAGCCCACACTCCTATTGCCCTGTCTTTCTCCTTGTTGGCACCCAGTGTGCCTATTTTAAGTCCTATTGGACTCTACATTAGAGGACAGTCACAAATACCAGTAAAGTTGTGATAGAGCAATGGACACTTCACTTCTGTTACATTTTTTCCCCCAAAACCCAGGAGTACTGGCCAGTACTCCCCAAGACTATAAAGGTCACAAATAATAGGAAAGACTACGAAACTGTCACAGACCAGCAGAAATTAGGGAGACATGACAATTCAATGCAATATGGTACCTTGAATTGGATCCTGGAACAGAAAGAGGTCATTAATGCGAAATACTAGTGAAATACAAATGAAATTTGGAATTTAGTCAAAAGTAATGTGCCAACATCAGTTTCTTTGTATTGGCAAATGTATTATGGTATTATGAGATATTAACAATGGGGAAACTGGATGAGAGCTACAGAGGAATTCGCTATACCATTTTCACAATTTTTCTGTAAATCTAAAATTATTCAAAAATAGAATTTTTATTTTTAAAAAACAGATAACTAAAGGCTAGGTTTGCCAGTCCCTCCATCCATCTTTCCCCACACCCTCAAAACAAACAAACAAAAACCAAACAAAAAACCCTAATATACTCTTAGTTCTAGAAATAAGGGGAAGTATTCATTAACTTTCCTCTGAGGAAGACTGGGAGAATGTTCTTGTTTATCAGAGAATTTCCCATATGCAAGAGGAGCATTTTCAAAATTAAAAAGACGTTCTCAGTCTTCCTCTTTCCCTCTACGGTGTATCACTCTGGTGCTGTTTCAAAGTTAGTGTTTTGGAAAGTACCTTGACATAGAAGAAGAGCAAGGCTGAGCAGGTCCAAGGGGAGGATATTCTAGATGGGAAGAGTGGAGGAAATTGGAGTCATTTTGTGGGACATGGTATATGTACAGGTGAGGAAAAGAGAAGAAAACAAAGACAAAAGATAGAAAAAGACAAGTTGAGGGAAAGGTGACTTGACAGGAGCCATGAAGCATG